AGATTGTGGTTCATTCTTTTCACAAGTAAATCATTACTATTCCATTTTTATTTTTTTTTTCAATTTGAATTCATAATCGACTCACATATAATACGATGTAAATTCAAATATATAATGCCAAAATTATTCATTATTACCAGAGTTGCTAAAAGATACTTTTTAAATGGATCTAGATACAGATACATCGTCTAAAATAATATCTAGATACAGATATTTTAATCAAAAATCTATCTAGATACAGATACAGATACCACATTTTTATATCTAGATACAGGATCTAGATACTTGTATCTAGATACAGGATTTTAGCAACTCTGATTATTACCTCAAATAATTGACTGGGTCATACAACTAATATTGAGGATAACGATATCGAATATATTTATTACGTTCATGCGACCTAATCCGTTATATTCACCTAATCTGAACCCAAACTCGACCAAAATTTTTTTCCGGTAAGAGGCTTGAATTAAGAGTATTTGCTGTTTATAAATATTTTAAATATACCCTGGTCGGGCCGGATATAAAAATTTTTTTTAAAAAAAAATATCCGAGGGCCGGGCCATATATTTTGAAACCAAGTATTTGAAATTGCCATTATTAGCTATAAAAATCAAAAATACATATAATAATATTTTTAAAAAAAATACGGTTTCGGTTATGAAAAAAAAAGAAAACCCGGGGCCGGGCCGAAAAAAATTTTTGAAAACGGGCCAGGTCGTGAAAATAGTACCTTTTGCAGGTCTGACATAGATAATAATCATTATTTATAAAGCTAAATTAATCGATTCTATATATGTATATGGCCACTTAGCCCTTGACCAGTTATTCAAAAATAAATATAAATTAATCATCAATTTAATATCCAGATCGAATTTTTATTTTATAACCATCTCTGACTCCACCTAAGACTAACTGTTGTAATATGCAAATTTACTAGATTAAGAAAAACGCCAGACAGGCAATTACTTTTAAACAAAATTACGAAGCCCAAAGATATTCAAATCTACAAGAATTAAATCTCGGTACAAATTGAGACTATGCAAATGTTGATTAAAGAAAAAGGATATATAAGGAGAAATTATGATGCGAAAAAGGATGTTTAAATTATTATTTTTAACTTTATTTAGCTAATTATTTATATAATACAATATAATTAATATTTGTATATATATTTATATACATATAAAAAAAACATTTTAAAAAAATAAATAAATATAGTATTGGAGGATATGTTTGTGACGGTGTTAAAAAAAAAATATATATATATATATATTGAGGTTAGGAAGGATAATCTTGTGGGGAGAGACTGCTTATGTAAATTTACTTTTTAATTTACTTTTTTATATTAATTTTAATTTTTCTTTTATTTTGATTATGTTTTTATCTTATTATTTAATAAAGATTTAGTATCATTTTAGTTTTAACCTTTCTTTATGTGACGAATATTATAGAAAAGTATACATAATCGAGGATATTTGTCTGATTTAGTATCATTTTAGTTTTAACCTTTCTTTATTTGACAACGGTTCTAATCACCCAATCCTTCTAAATTCCTCGAAATGTTACATTGGTGTTGGAGAGCGGAGGAGACCGGGCCATTACAATAATTCAGTCTAATTAACTCTGAAAAGAGATTCTAAATAAAGGGGGAAGGGGATGTATGAAATGACTATCGACACAAAGACAAAGAATGAGGTCAATAAAACAATGGTGTCAATATCAATGGTCGTAATTCGAAAAAGAATAGAATTAGTCGTTTAATTAAAAGGAATTCGTCACAAGAGATCGTTATACGTACAAGTGATCGATGTAGCTAAAAGAAATTCGTTATAAATTTTTATTAAAGATATACGTTTAACTGTTATTTGAGTTGATAATATTTAGCAAAATATCAGGTTGTTGATTAACCAAAATCTTCATAAAGAGAAACGGCTTTTCGTCATTAGAAAATATATGCCGCAATCGAGCTCACTTAGAGATCGGATTTTTATTTTGGATCAAAAGATACAAGAAATCATTATCGTATAAGAGATCTTAAGACAACGTGGATATCTTGACAAGCGACTAGGTAGAACAAGTGGTCAAGTCCAGGATGCTATCGTTAATCGTTGACAAATTATCGCCAATTGCTTATCAAAACTTTAGTATAGGATAAAAAATCGATGATCTTAGAAGCAAGAAGTCGTGGAAACAATCCTTACTCGCAGACAAATTATCGTCAGTCGTTTGCCGTCATTAGTTACTAGAAACCGTAGAAACAAGCAAAAACTAGGATAATTTGGGATTAAAACGAAATATAATTAAAAGAGCTAGAAGAATGTATCGGGAATCATGATAACAGATTCGTCAATGGCCTATAGAGATCAAGAGATAATCTTTTACAAGGGGTTGATAAGAAACAGAAGGAATCAAGAATTTCAGATTGTAATCGAATACAAACAGTCCTTAGAAGTGAAGAATATTATACAATAGACCGCCGTCGTTAGAAACTAGAAGACATTAGAGATTAAGACGAATAGATTCGGTGGAGAAACAAGATCAGTAAAGTCAAAATCGGAAGAAAGGAGATCATTCGCAGAATGGTGGGACTAATCTAAGTGGAAAGGTGTTGTAATTGTGGTAACATGCAAATTTACTAGATTAAGAAAAACGCCAGACAGGCAAATTACTTTTAAACAAAATTAAGAAGCCCAAAGATATTCAAATCTACAAGAATTAAATCTCGATATAAATTGAGACTATGCAAATGTTGATTAAAGAAAAAGGATATATAAGGAGAAATTATGATGCGAAAAAGAATGATTAAATTATGATTTTACGAACTTAATTTTTTTAATTTTTAATTTTAACTTAAATTAATTTCTTTTATTTTGATTATGTTTTTATCTTATTATTTAATAAAGATTTAGTACCATTTTAGTTCTAACCTTTCTCTATTTGACGAATATTATAGAAAAGTATAATCGAGGATATTTGTCTGATTTAGTATCATTTTAGTTCTAACCTTTCTTTATTTGACAACGGTTCTAATCTCTCAATCCTTAAAAAAATATCAAAATGTTACACTAACTATTCTTACCCAGTTAAATCAAGATTGAAGACTATTAATGCAATCATATGATGTTAAAATTAGTTTTCATTTGATATCCATATTTTAAAAAAAATTTATCAAAAATTTTTATCAATTCCTGACCAACCAAGATCTAAACCTATTTATTTAGAGCAATGATTAATATTAAAGTCAGATATTTTAATTACCTTTTATTTGATACCCATAATCCATATTAAATTTGTATGGTTTAATCCCCCAAAACCACATCCCCAAACCAGGTCTCACCCATTTAAAACCAAATGTGAATTCTGCTAGCTTTCATTTAAAACCAAATGTGAATAGTATCAATACAACAATATATTTGCTAGCTTTCATTTAAAACTAAATGTGAATAGTATCATTACATCAAAAGATATATTTGATAGCTTTCATATAACACCCCATATTGAATATGTTATAAAAAATTCGCAATTCTGACTTTGATTGATAATTAACATTACAATCAAAAAATATTTTATTCTTTTGATATCCCTGTCGAACTTTTATGTTAAAACTAACATCCCCCACCCCACCAGGCCAAGCTCCGCTTATTGAGACCAAGAGTGAATACTATTATTTCAGTCAAAGGGATATTTTAATTAGCTTTCATTTGATACCCATATTGAATTTTAATGACTTAAAAAATTATTCAGTACCTTTCAAGACCTAGACTCGCTCACTTAAAGTGATAATTAACATTCAAATAAATTCTAACTACCATTTAATACCCCTATCAAATTTTGGATTTTAACCAGAGCTTTGAATCTACGAAAATCTTTGTCATTGGTTCAAGTTTAACTTATATCAAATCCGGTTTGATTGGTGTTCAAAAAACTCTAATCAAAAAATAATGAATTTAAATTAGAAAGAAAAAAAGAATACTCAAAAAATGGCATTCCTCAAAGAAATAATTTAAAGGTATAAATAACCACATGGATTAGGATGAGCAAAAATCTAGAATCTCAGTATAAAAGATAGTGTTGTTAAATGGCTCGATTTTTAAAAACAGCTAACTCGATTATTTTAGCCAGAAAAATATTGCCTGAAGTCTAGAGATTTCGCTAATAGATGTCCGAATCTCTGCCACCTATGAGCAAAATTTTTATGCTTGTCTATTTTTTCTCGGTAAAATATCGAGTTGGCCGTTTTTTATGAAGGATTTTTAAATGAAAAAAAAAATTATAACTTTAAGGTCTTATACATATATATTTTTTTAATTATTGATCTTAAAAAAAGAATTCGGTAGAATATTTAGTAAGATCTATGTTAAAACTAACCTTTTCACTTGCAGGATTGCAACTTAAAATCTAGCTAGCTAGTGATAATGAGGATCGGGCACGATATCTTTTTATATGATTTTTTTATTTTTGCAACAGGGGCAGATCTGTGAATTATCAGTATATATATATATAAAATTGCTATTTTTTGAATGCCAAGTGAACAGACCTTGAGTGAGATGCAGAAACAGGAGACACTCCAGCAAAAATCTAAAGACAGATATGGTTTGGAGTTAATTTATATTTTTAAAAAATGAATGTGTACCTTTTATTTTAATAAAATGTGAGCGTTTATTAAGTTGTTATTGTTCCATGATGTGAATTTTGATCATTCATTATCTCCCTTAAAATCTATAGAAATGTGTTAATAAAGTCCTAAGTCATATTATGAGCCAATAATTGTGCTTAAAATATATCACAACACACTTGAAAATAAATTAAATATAAAAAATATTAAGAAATCATCAAAGGGCCATATTTTAACTTAAAATTAACCTCAGTACACACTTAATGAATTAAGACAACAAACGTTTTTAATAAGGAACTTGATTATTTTTAGAAATATTTTAATTATATGCAAATATAAACGGCAGTAATAAGCGAAAAATAGACGCATACACAAGTCACATGGATGATTATTAAAAGTTAAAAGAAATTGTAATTGTAGTTCTTATCACAAATATTATGAGTGAAAAAAATAATGTTCATATGCAAAAATAATTTACAAATCCATTGAGTAACATTTAAGAAAACTTCATAAAAAGCTAATAATAAATACCAAAAAAAAATGTTTTGGATTTATAGTAACATTCTTCGAAGCCTTTAATATTCCATATGATCAGCGCCGGGGTATTTGTGATCGGGCTTATCTGGGTTTAATTTGATCAAATCGTCGATTCTGAGGATAGTTATAGCCGCTTCGGTGGCAAATTTAATGCTTTTTATCTTTGACATGGCCGGTTCGAGCACGCCCGCTGCTCTGTTATCCCTAATAGTTCCGTTTAAAAGGTCAAGTCCAGCCCTTATATTATGTTATAATAATAATTAAGATAGAGTTTAAAAATGTATACTTTTGGCGATATAATGGAGAAAATGTAGAGAAAAGAGTTTTAGAAAAAATACCTCTAAAAGAATGCAAAAGTATGAAGCACATCACCTTATGGTTAATTTTCATGACTCCCCTCCCCTTAATAAAAAAAAGGCCTTTCAAATATAAAAGCCTTTTGATTTATACAAATTTGTCAAAATTCTAGTTAATTAGTTTTAGGTAACATTTCTTCCATTTTTCGAAAAAATAAATTACAATGCCTTTTTTTAAAAAAATATATGATGTTAAAACCATTTCCATTGCTTTTGATCATTTTTAGTTTGAGAATTATTGTGATGGGCGCGCAACTTAGCTATAAGGTCAGTAGCATCGAGGGCAGCATTAGAAGCTAATGTTTTGGGGATGGCGAGTAAAGCCTTGGCGAATTCCGCTATCGCTAATTGTTCCCTGCTACTCTATAATAAATTTGTTTGAAAAAATATTTTTATATATATAAGAAAAAAAATTATAGGATATATAATTCAATTCTTATTTCCTTCAGTTTATTAATAAATAAAAACATCGTTTTCCATATAGTTCAGCTAAATCAAATATTAATTTAAATGTATCAAAAAATATTTTTTTTATAATAAATAAGAAAATAAATGGAATATAAATAAAAATTTTAGGATTGTTGGAATAGAAGAGAAATTCGAGAAGATTGGTGGTGCATACTATCATAAGTAAAACGTCTTTCGACTCGTTCCATCCAAAGAATGTTAGATGGGACAGAACGGATTGAATTTCTTCATTGTAGTAGATGGATTAAGTGAGACCAATAAAATGAGGGCAATTGGTTGGACAATAATGTAGTAATCCTTACACTACCTTAATATTCGTTACTCACTTTCTTTACACGTTATTAACACTCATTTCTCATACATACTCTACATGTGCGTGTGACAAAAAGACATTATATATTGAAACGTTTCATACGATAGAAGTAGCAAAGTGTTCCAAATAGATGGAAACTGCCGTTTCAACGGCTCCGCCACCCGCCACGACAGATTTCGATTCCAGGACTCTCTTGACAACGCACAAGGCATCGTGGACCGACCTTTCAACTTCATCGAGCATGGTGTCATTAGCGCCTCGTAAAATCAAGGTTGCACAAGTCCTTGATTTGGGGCTATAATTTTTTTTTATTAAGTATATATATTTATCAACTATCAGGAAGACTATCAAATAAGGACCTAATTAGATAGTTCGATTCACTACCCAATATAAAATCATGATATTTATTCTAATTTCAAGTCAGGGTTAAATGAAATTCTGATTTTTAAAACTGTTATATTCTTATTCGTGAGGATTAAATATTTTAACCATATTAAGTTACTCTTAAGCTAATATATATAAGAATTTAGAAGATTTATTGAACCGAAAAAACTAACTATTACAAGATTTCTAAGGGGAAAAGGTCTAATAGAGAAAAAATAAGGTTTGATTGGAAAGGGAAAAGCCACCGTCTCACACGCAAAACAAAAAAATCGTTATTTATTCCAATCGGAATATAAAGATCAAATTATGCGATTCATTGTTTTTTTAGGAAAGAGGAAGCTTTTTATACAATTGTTTAATTTCCGTCAACATTAAACTTGTGGCCTCCTCAACTTAATATACGCATAATTGCAATTGTAATCTCCTATTTAAAAATGCAATAAAATAAAATGCTCTATTGAAACAGTTGATGAATAGGAGAACTTTAATACAAAAAGAAAGGACAAAAAACTGTTATTTATGCAACGAACCCCCTGATGATGATCAATTCATCGTCACAAATTCTTTCTTGGGTCACTTCCTCGGCTGCTCCTAGGTAACTGGATTCAAATATTTCGTCCCCTTCAAGGTTGGAGAGGCTGACCAATAAAGTGGCTATTAAATAGAATACAAATATATAAGATTGTAAATGTATATATTGCAAATGTGTATACAAGATTGTAAATGTAATCTTAAATTTGTAAATATAGCTCACAAAATGATTAAAACAAGTACATTTAGAAAATGGGTGGCCTAAGTAACACTTTAATTAAAATCATATTATAAGTATAATAATCAAAAAACGTCTTCAAGGGTGATTTGTATAAAAAAAATAAAAATCTAGCAGAACTATAAATTTTTTTAGTTCCGGTATGAGTTTGGTTTGAGAATCTATGAGAAGGAAGTGACGCTTGGTTAGAAATATGATTGTGCTGTGCCTTATAACTAAGTTTCACTTACCTTGGCGTATTATTTTATTTATATATTACGGAACAGAACCAGAGAATAAAATTCAACCAATCCCCTCCCTCCTTTTGCCTGTCAATTAATTTTTTAGATAACCTCCAGTAGCTTTAGCAATCCTTTTCAAATCCACCTTTTTGCATCTCCTGACAGCCATGGCATTCACCTCCACAAAAGGTTTCAAGCATAAATCGTCAATTCCTCCAGTAGTGAGAATGACGTTAGCTCCAGAGCTGATTATTTTTTGTATCTTTTGTCGCACCAAATCAATTTCCCTAAATACAAAAAAAAATCGAATATTAAAAATGAAATAATTATATCGATAGGAGAAAATTTAAAAAATAAAAAGATATTTTTGTAAAAGTTTCCTTTATATAACTATTCGAAATTATTTTGATTGATCAAAAATTTTAAAAAATATTTATAAACCTTGTAATAATATAATTAATCTATCATCCCCGTTTCGATAAATAGTCAAACTTCCATGCATATATATTTTAAAATGTTTAATGGTGCCTTCCATAAACTAGACCTGGCAAACAAAAAAAGAAAGTATTTTATAAATGGCCTCCTTGGGAAGGTATCGCATTTAGTTCGGTACGGAATATTACTTTTGGCGGATGGATTCCAATTTCTGCGGATCTTCGACCAGCACGTGAATTCCCAACGACATCTTTGACTTTTGCAGACTAAAGTCTAGGCAAGCTATTTTGGCGTTACTCACTTTCTTGGGCATAGCTATTGCATAATATGTTAATGATATTTTTTTTAAAATATATATGTTGAGGTGCTCAAACGTGATAACTTACTAAGCCATTATTTACTTCACTGTAATTATCTATTTTATTGGTTATAAATAATTATATGTTAAATAATTGATACAAATTGATTTTGTGACTTTAAACGCCTAAAAGTATCATTTTATATTAGTCGAGATTATGTTTGAAGCATATTAGATAAACTATTTTTACGAAAAATATAACAATTTTTCGTTCGATTTTAAAATAAAAGGTTATTTGATTTATTCTCGCGTTGATTTGATTCTTTGGATAAAAGTATACGGGAATGAGAAGACAACTTCCCAATAATAGGCAACAGGGATGCACTGAAAAACGTGGCCGAACAATTTACACCATAAATGATGCTGAGAGCAGAAATCACTACGATTTACTATTTTACACAAAAAAAGAATTAACCCCTTTAAATATTTTATTTTGTTTCAATCAGTAATGGCTAACTCAATATTTTAGCCAGAAAAATATCGCCTAAGTCTCTAAATATTGACCTTTGTTCCTTCTAGAGATCTGCAAAATAGACCCGGGCCGGGCCTAATATTTTTTTAAGAAATTTCGGGCCGGGTCGGGTCTAAAATTTTTTTAAAATATATCTAAATTTATTAATTTTTGTGTTAAATTTTTTATGTAAAATAAAAAAATATGTGGTTTTATTTATAGAAAGTAGACGCCATATAACATATATCGTTTATTTTGAGTGATCATAAAAATTAATTTCTATCTTTAAATAAATTCGGACCAGGCCGGACTTGAAAAATTAGGCTTGATGCGGATCACTAGCTCCTTCTATGAACTAGTAATTCGGGCTTGCGTATCTTAATGAAATGTTGACCGTTTTTAAAAATCGGCTCAAAACAAGCCGTTTAACAATAATAATTTCAATATTAGTAATAAAATTATTTCCGCCAGATGGCGTATTTGAATCAAAAATAATATCATGAAATCAATGTTTTTTTTAAAAAAAATTCCAAAAAGTTCGTTAAATTTTTGAATTTATAAAATTATTCTAGAATTATTGTTTTTGAACTTATTTTTATATTTAAAACAGTTTTCTTTATTTATTTTCGTTAAAATTTCGAATGCTTGTTTGTATTTAATTTTTTCACAAAAGGTTTGGACATCTATTAAGGAAATCTCGAGGCTTAGTCAATATATTTCTGTCTAAAATATTGAGTTAGCCCTTTTTGTTTAAATGGACTCAGATCGAGCTGTTTAACAATACTCTACTAACTAAAGCTAAATGTTAGAATCCCAGCTTTTATATTTATAAAGATATGTTGTTAATCGGCTTAGCCGAGTCGGCTTGAACAGAGCTGACCCAAATTTTGGGTCGTTTTTTCGGCTTGATCTCGGGTCGAGGTCGAATAAAACGACCCGGACTTTGGGTCGGGGTCGCGACGTTTTAACAACACTATTATAAAGGCCGGGCCGTATTTTAAATTTTTTGTGAACTATCTTTACGTTTATCCAATTATCGTTCATTATAAATGATGATTCTAAATATTAAATATTTCTTCTCAGTGTGGTGGGTGGGGTCCATCTTATTCTAAAGCATCTATATATATATATATTTTTAAAAAACTTTCTCTGATTTTTATATAATTTTAAGAAAATGTTTTATATCTGCGAGATGACAAATTTTAATTAAAGAAGTGGATCTCTTGAAGCATATGTTTCCTCTTTCGACCCAGGTGGTCCTTTTATATATATCGTATGGGGATATGTAAAAAAAAATTTAAAAAATCCGATTTAACCAGAAATGTGCATGTGTAGAGTATTTAACCCTATAAATTTCAGCCATAGACATTTCGGTATTTTTTTTTAACATATATGAAAAATCCGTATAAAAATTAATATTAAAATAGGAGTAGTTCTAAATGTTTATTGCATGTTAGAAATTTACAGTTTGGGTACTCTACACATGCCGAAATACAATTCCTGTAAAATCAGATTTTCAAAATCTAAAAATGGCCCTTTAGTGAATGATTTAAAATCAAGAGATTCCGGATCCCCACAGATTCTAAATTATTTGATATTCTTTTGTAAAAAGCCCGATTTTCAAAAACAGCTGATTATGATTTTAACCAAAACAATATTGTAGTCCTCGAAGTTTGATAAATAGATTTTCCAAACAATTTTATGCAAAATCTCCGGCTTACATTATATATTATTTTTATAATCTTTAAAAATCAACCCAAGTCAGGCTTTTTAACGACACCAGTTTTAAGCAAGAGCAACAAAAAAAAAATTTCTAGTATATTTTTACTGTTAAAGATATGAATCAAAGTAAGGATAAAGAAAAATTTAATGTCTGGTACCAGAACCAATGAAAAAACAGCACATCTCTTAGCATTAAAATTAGGGATGTACCGATATTTTATATCGGATCGGATCGGGCCGATATTTCGCTCATTTTAAAATATCGGTTATCGGCAAATATTATAAAATTTTCCGATCCGATATAAAATGGCGCTTTTAACAAAATTTAAAAAAAATTATATCTAAAAAACCATTTATTTTTATAAATAAAATCGAAATACATTTTTATGTTTAATTTTTTTAATAGAAATAATTAGTTAATAAACATTCTGCAATATAGTTTTTTTTTTCGCATTCTGTTTAAAAAAGTGTTCATTAATCTCTTCTAGGGGTGTACCGATACCACTTTTTGGGGGCCGATCCGATCCGATATTTCAGATATTAAATTAATATCGGCCGATAACCGATCCGATATCATATCTAATTTTTGTATATAACTTGTCAAAGAAACATCGTAGTTTTCAATTCATGCTATTATTTATATAATAAGTAATAACATTAATCTATTTACATAATTAGTAATAAAAAAATATATTATGAAATTCGAAATTAATATTTAAAATTAATATATCGAAGATTTCTTTTTATATCAGAGATATGTCGGCGGTGATGGGGACTGTTAATATCACTAGCATCACTAAAAACAGATACTGAAGAGATTAATGAACACTTTTTTAAACAGAATGCGAAAAAAAATAACTATATTGCAGAATGTTTATTAACTAATTATTTCTATTAAAAAAATTAAACATAAAAATGTATTTCGATTTTATTTATAAAAATAAATGGTTTTTTAGATATAATTTTTTTTAAATTTTGTTAAAAGCGCCATTTTATATCGGATCGAAAAATTTTATAATATTTGCCGGTAACCGATATTTTAAAAAGAGCGAAATATCGGCCCGATCCGATATAAAATATCGGTACATCCCTAATCTCTTCAGTATCTGTTTTTAGTGATGCTAGTGATATTAACAGTCCCCATCACCGCCGACATATCTCTGATATAAAAAGAAATCTTCGATATATTAATTTTAAATATTAATTTCAAATTTCATAATATATTTTATTATTACTAATTATGTAAATAGATTAATGTTATTACTTATTATATAAATAATAGCAATTGAATTAAATATAAACTATAACTGACCATTATAATATATTTAAATGACATATGTTATGGTATAGTAAAATTATAGATGTTGTACTAATAAAAAGTATATTAAAAATTAAAACCGATATCTTTGCAGAATACAAAATTAGATATGATATCGGATCGGTTATCGGCCGATATCAATTTAATATCTGAAATATCGGATCGGATCGGCCTCCAAAAAGTGGTATCGGTACACCCCTAATTAAAATATATGAGAATGATCGCTAAGATCATTATAAAAACGTGAAACCAGAATACATGCAAATTCTATTAGGACAAAAAATAAAAATTATTTCAAATTATTTATTTTTTTATTTTGTATCAGCTTCCATTTTTAATTTTGATATTTTTGTTTTCAAATCTTCGTTCATGATAGTATTGTTAAGAAGTCCGATTCGGGAACCAAAATAACATTACGCAAGCCCTAAAGATCTGGCGCTGATAGCTGGCAGAAATGCTTGGACATCTAGTTGCCAAATCTCGATGCTTACGTAATATTATTTTTAGCTAAAATCGGACCGTAAAATCGACCCAAATCGAGCTTTTTAACAACAGTAGCATATTGCATAATCCAGCAAATTAAAAATCATGGGACATAAAAATGCCGTAACCTTGGGAAGCCAAGGTACAATTAAGGGCATAGCCATTTATCAGGACACTTTCCTTGTTGCTTTTCCCGTGGGCTTTCAACACGTTGACGGATTTGATGGGATACTTGTAATTTTCCTTGTTGGCGCCATCTTGAAATCTGACGGCCATGGCAGCGTCTACTACCAAATGGGCAAAGAAATCGCTGTCCCTGCGATATATTGTATACGTGTAAAAATTGGATCAAACAATAAATTTAACGGGTTAATAAGAAATTAGGGTCGGCCATTCCAAGTCAAATCGATCAAAAAAAGACACATTTTCAGCCGACCTCTTTTAAAATTGTTAAAAATTTCCTGGAATTATTTAGATGCGTAAAATAAAATGAGAAAGCCATTTATTTTAGCTCGTTAGCACACTTGGTTCTCGAGATATAGGGGATCAAAGGTGCATAAAAGAGCCACTTTGGATTCTGTAAAATTTTTAGATGCTTATATCTCATAAACTGTTTATAGTAAAATAAAAATATAATATAAGATAAGATACTTTAATCCCTACTCTCAAAAAATGGAAAAATTTGGCGCCAATTGAGTCTTCAATTTCCGGTTTATCTACATTGTTTTACCGTGTTTTTAGGCAATAAAAGGGAGTTTGTTTTAGAAAAAAAAAAAATTCCTTTTATTTAGACACTTTTTTTATAAATAAACGTGAGATGTCGCTCTTCAGAAATATACATTTTTACCAAGAAAAAAAATAGATGGCACTATACAAAACTACGGATTACCAAATTACGGATTATGGTTGAAAAATATCCTTCTTAAGGAAAATGAAAATATTGACACGTTTATAAGAAATGTGATATCTTCCAATTCTGCTCCCCCTGCCCCCATCATCCATAGTTTTGCATTTTTTTTAGATCTTTTTTAGCTCGATGTAAAATTGTATAACAGCTGCATTAAAATAGAATATTATATTGGGCATATTATTTTACAAAATAAGCTGTTCAAATAGAGCGATCTACCTCGCATAATATTCCCAACTTGCCCCGTTCTGAAGATTAATTTTAAATAATTCAACCCGTCTGTACGCTTCGGGATTTGGAAGGTGGAAAAACATTTATTCAAGGTTGCATATCGATTAAAATTTCATTATTATGGCAAATAAAAAATTAATGCTGATTCTAAAATCACTTTAAATAAAGCTTCATTTATATGGGGGTTTTGCACCCATTCCCCCATTTTGCGGGCTGGATACCATATTTAAGATATTGCCGAAAATAATTTGCGATCCAGCATTACCGAATTGCCTCTTTGGTGATTGTGCTAAATGCCTTGGATTCTTCTAATTCAAAGGCCACAATAAGTGAAATATTATATTCAAGTGATGTCTAATATATTATCTACAAGCAATGGGTAACTACAAATCGTACGAATCTTGTAATTATCACTTCGTCAACCTCTAATTCGAAAATCAAAATTACAAGTATACTCATTTTATATCAACGCAGCAAGCAATATTGATGAATGCTAAAATTAATTAAATGAAGGAGAATATATCGTTCAGGAAGATTTTGCTGAAAATTATGCCCTCGTGGTTCAGGATGAAGTATAGGTAGACCTGTGCGCCGGCTTTTGGTTACGCCGAAAACGCCGCCATTAAGAAAATCACGCCGGCACAGAAATTTCTTTCTACCTTTTTATTCTAATAATTGATCAACTTCACTCTTGTAATTTTTTAATGTCAATCAGGATTTAGATGAATTTTTATTTTCTACTATTTTAAAATCTTAATTATCTTGACGTCATTATAGAATTCAATCAATCAAGAATCTAAAATTCCAAAAGTTACCATAATTTTACATATTTTTAAAATGGATGCATCTACTATAATAATTTAAATAATTTTAGTATCCTAACTCTGGATAATATAAATCCATAGTCTGGAAATTTATTGCAAAAGAATTAGAGAAATACTGCTCTAAGATATAAAACTGCAGAGGTTGAATTTGAATTCGAGGAATATCAAAGAAAATGCCTAAGTACAATAGATTTAACATCAGACATGTTAGATCTTGACAGCATTGATCCATACCCGGACCCGGTTACAAATTGGCAATTCCAATGATAATAGTAACAATAATTCTACGCATATGAAAACCTTAGAATTAAATATCCCAACACGTTGGCATATATATTAATTATGCTAGAAAGCATATCTGGATTAAATAAGAATTTAATTAATGTTTTGAAAAGAATTGGGAAGCACTTTCTCAAATTATCAAATTATGAATCTGATCTGGTAAAAGAACTATTAGCATTTCTTTCAAAATTTAAAAAAACTGTCGAATTTCTTTCAGTACTAAAAGGGCCTACTTTAAACTTGGCGTTACTTTTTAGAAGTGAAATTGAAACACATTTAATAGTAAATGATAGTGATAGTTCTGAAATTATTTCACTTAAGGAAAATGTGCTAAAAAAACTTGCGTTACGATTTCCGGTTTGTAATCTGCAAGTAATATTATATAAGTATATTCTTTTATTTTTTATTTAAAATTATCTAGGTATTGGCTTCTCTTTTAGATCCAAGATTTTAAACATTGACAATTGTGTCAAAGTATTTAATAGAGCAAAATTGCTCAGCTACAGAATTTATAATAAAACATCTTAAACTTATAGAGAATGATGATAATCAGGTAGTAAATATAGCTAATGAGGATGAAGATGAATTATTAAATTCAAGTTATTTGACAAAATTGGCAAATAAACATTCAACAAATATAAATTATGATTCCAAGTTAGGTGACTTAGAACAAGAATGCCACAGTTTTCTTGGAAAACGACATTCACAAGATATGGACGGTTCATTTTTGGAGAAAAAAGAAGAGTGAACTTCCCAATCTTTCCAGGCTCGCCAAAAAAATTCTTTGCATTCCGGCGACTGGCACACCTAGTGAAAGAGTTTTCTCTACCGCTGGTTTGACGTTAAATGCAAGGAGATCATCATTATGTCCCAAAAATTTAAATAAAATAATTTTTATACATGATAATTAAATTCCGAAATCGATTTTGAATATAATAAGTTTTCTATTAAATGAATATTAATAAAATATGCAGATATCTGTAGAATAGTGTATATTTATTTGTTTTTTTTTTAAATTAATAAGCAATTTAAAAAAATGTATCTTATAAAAATTTATATATGCGACGATTTACGCCAATTTTATTGACGGCGGCTAAAAATCGGCGCGCCACTGGCCGTTTATTAGATTATTCAAAAATTGCGCCGGCCGCCGATATTTCGTCGGCGCACAGGTCTAAGTATAGGGGTTTCACTGGAATAAAGCACAAGTTACCATTCACCCTTTTGTGATTTATTACAAGTCACAATTATTTAGGTTAGGTAATAATACCTGAATCCGTCTGCTACTTAACAGAAATTTCAATTCCGACCAAAAAAAATATTCTACTTTTCAGGTGGAGCAAGAATCACAAATATTTATATCAAATCTTTGCCACTATGAAGATGATTCGGAATAAAATTTGAATCACATTTCTGGGCCACATCTCATGGCAAATTGGCTTGTGACGTTGTCAGAGGTACAGTCAAAGTGGCCAAGGTATAGGTCAATTAGGCGGGGTTCTGCAGACCTCTAGGCCAGGGCTAGTTTACAAAGACCTGTTTAAAAACAAATAGCTTAATTTATTAATATATATATATATGTATTATAATTTTTTTTATTAATAAATAGATTTCTCTTATATTGTGGAAGGCGAATATGAGAAATAGCAAATAATAGAAGAAGAGATTCAATAAATAATATATTTTTAATTATATAATGAATTTGATTGTCCATCTATATTTCTATATTATTAATAAAAATGAATAATAAAAAAATTATATGTAATATATTTAATATTGGAAATTTGATACATTCTTTAGTGTCTAAGGGATATTTGCCTTCACTGCCCCTCAGTTTAATTGGTATATTTAATAGAAATTCGAAATATTTTAGTATAAAAGCTGAAAATATCCTGTTATAGGTAAGTTAGTAACAAAATTTTAACCATGATCCGTAGTTTCTTTAACCGCCAATTATTTCCTTTCAATTTTTAGTAAAAATGTATATCGGAAGAGCTGGTAGCTAAGGGTTTTGACAATCGTATATATATATTAAAAGTAGTGCCTAAATAAAAGGCAAAAAAAAATTTTGAAAACAAACTCCCTGTATAGCCTAAAAACACGGGTATTATATATATATAGGAAGTCAAAGACCAAAATTGGCGCCAAATTTTTTTATATATTGATAGACTTTTAGAGATTTTTTTTACTTACAATATGATATACAGTGTTAACCAGATTTGATGGAAAACATTTCAATATTTTTTAATTTATTTGAAAATAAAAATATTTGACTTGTGATAAATTGTTAAAATAACAATAATTTTATTTACAAATGAATTAAAAAATATGGAAATGTTTTGAATTAAACTGCACAACACTGTATTATATTTTTATACTATAAATAATTTTTGAGATATAAGCATTTTAAAAATTTTACAGAATTCAAAATGGCTCTTTTTTTCTTTTTCCACCAATGAGCCCCTATATCTCGAGAACCAAGTGTGCTAGTGGGATAAAATAAACGGCTTTTCTTTTTTTTTATCTATCTAAATAATTTAAGAAATTTTCTTTACAATTTTATAGGGGTCGGCCAAATCGTGATCGATTTGACATGGAATGGCCAATTACAGTCTTTTTATGAACATATTAAAATATTTAGCTCGTTTCAGTCATCAAGAGTGAACTGATTCACTGATATTTACAATAACATATACTAGCAGCATCACTCAATGGCAAATGAACACATATTTCTGATTTTTATATGCCGTTAATTTTGGAAAACATGTTTTGCTTAATATCCCTTGTTATAATGAAATGGCAGAACCAAAAACATGAAATTTTAAATAAAATGCTATCTATTTAAAATTATAAAAAAAGTTTTTTTTACGGTCCAATCAATTTGCTAGATAAACTAGTTTTCGCGCAGTTAATAATGCAATCCTTTCCCAATTCATCTACACTGATCGTTAAATGGTCTTTGATGTATTTGCAAACCTCTCTTGATTAAATATTTTGAAAAGAAAATAATCAAATGCCTGCTTCAATAGAACATTATATATTAAAGCTCAAATATTATATTAAATTTTTTTTTAAAACATTATTCTCATTTTAAATAGCAAAAAAAATAAGGATTCCGTGTGTTATATTTACAAATGAATTAAAAGCAAAGATGATTGAAGTATAGAAGATAGTGTTGTTACGGTTCGTTTTAAGCTGATTTTTAAAAACGGGTAACTTACTTCATCCAGAAAAATATTACCCAAGCCTGAAGATTTTGCTCATAGAAGGAACAAAGGTCCAGACATATATTGTCAAAATCTTTAGGCTTAGGCAATGTTTTTGTGGCTAAAATATTGAGTTAGCTGTTTATAAAAAATCGGCTCAAAACAAGCCATTTAACAACACTAATAGAAGAATACACTTCCCTCATTTATGCATCATAAAAATTGTGTATTTTTTCAAAACTTTTGGCAAGTGCTTTATTGGTTAAAAAAATTTGCATAATAAATAAATGAAACTTATATATTTATTATAATCAACTACGTTTTTATTGATTTTGTAAAAATAACACATGTAAATTCTGTCCATATGTTTAATTGCAAAAAATAATTTATAAAAAAAATATATGAAAGCCCCTATAATAGCATTATAATATGTATGTATTATAACAATACAACTACAAGTATTATCAAAATGAATTTGCCTTACCTTAAAATAAGTTATAATTAGTCATCATTATATTATTTGCCTTTAAACTTCATACACCAAATATAAGATTTTGTAGAGATTAAACCTTACCTTAGGATATATGGGCCAATAGAAAATTGAATTAAATACTAATAAATTCTCATTCATTTGTATTTGTATATTTCAAATCAAATATCGTATATATTTTCGATAGGCCCTAATGTATATTATACAAGATCTTTAATTCATAGGTATTTCTAAAAGTTTCAAATAAAATATGAGCTCATACTTGCAAGCCAATCTATATCCACTTATGATGGATGTTGGGTGGATCTTCCATTGGACTAATGTTTCAGCATTTTTCATTAATTCTGCAGCAATAATTACCTATAAAATAAAGAAATTTATTTTAAGCAAAAAATAGTTATATTCATTTTGATATTTTGTGATAAGCAGAAGTAAAAGATCTATTCATCCTGTACTTTTAATCTGGTAAAATATTATAATTTAGAAAACAAGCATAAGGGTCTATAAAATTCAAAACTAATAAAAAATTGATTTCTGAAAAATAAGACATATAAGTTTGTTTATACCACAGAAGTAGTCCCATCACCAACTTCTTGATCTTGTAGATCTGCCAATTGCACCAAAATTTTAGCAGCTGGGTGTTCAACCTCAAGCAACTTAAGAATGGTAGCCCCATCATTAGTTATAGTGACATCCTATTTTAATGTTTTATAAAATTTTATATCCGTTAGTAAAAATTAAATTACAAATTCAATAAGAATAAGCTATTATTTTAATTTATCAGTAATTTGAATTTGATATCATGTTAAAATATATTTAATGTCCATTGAATATTTTATTTAAATTAAAATTCAACATATTATAGAATTTTAAAATCCCATATATACTTAATAGAATAAAATCAAAATAGTTATATGTAAATATCATATAATCTATATTAATTTAATATTCATATAAATTAATTACCCCAATATCATCAACTAGCATTTTATCCAACCCAACAGGCCCAAGAGAACTTTTAACAATATTAGCAATAGCCTTGCATGCAGTTACTGTATTTTCAGTAAGTATGAAATAAATTATACGATTAAATATAATGTGATAAAGGGTTTACAAATATCAATATTCCGTTAGCTACTATTATAATATGATTAATATATTATAAACTATTTGCTCTATTGTTATTGATTATTTTTCATTTTACATAAAATTTTTGATGTTTAATAGTATAATTTATAAAAGGCAACTTATAGTAACATAATTTTTTATTTATTACCATTTTGAGCTCGTACGTTTTTACCACTAGTTCTTTCACCATCAAGCGTGAGAGCAGTCAAAGTAGCCATTGAAATTATATTTAAATTAGGAAACGAACAATCTTCTGCTAATCGTCGAATTACAATTTTACGAAAATTTAACCAATTGGTAGAAGATTCTTCTCATTTTAATTTAACCTCTTAATTTTTTCTCCTTTACCCAGCTTTGATGAATATGAGGAGATTAGAGCGTGGCTTTTTTGTTTTAACAAAGGTCCAAAAGCACTTAAAGAATGACTAGTTTCAGAAATTTTATATACAGAAAAAGAGAAGATAATTAACTATTACTAGCCTTGTTAAATATGCTAATTTAGGTTGGTTTTTAAAACTCTGACTAGGATTTTAGCTAAAGTAGTAATATGTAAGCATAGAGATCTGGTAAATATTTATATTTTAAAAATTAATTGAATAATATTCATTTGTTCAAATTAATACTAATATAAGATATCTGCAAAGTGCCTGCCCGGCTCGAATAAAAAAAATAGATTTGGGGTTCTGGCCTATACCTAAAACGAATAAGTAAAATATATTAACTGTAGCATACATTTTTATCCTTTATTCGATTGAATTATTCGTATAATTCAAAATTATTCGTATTATTCAAAATTATTCGTAATTATTATAAATTATCTGAAAATATTCAAAATTATTCACAAATATATTCAAAAAAATATTTGAAATTATTTTATTAATTATATCATGTTCCTTGCTGAATTTATTATTTTTTTTCCACATTCTATAAATCACTTTTTTTAAAAAATTTAATAATCCATTCTTACATTTTTTGAAAATAAAGAATTTAATTTTTGAATGGAATCGAATATTCGACGAATCAAATCGAATAATATTTTTATATGTCGAATTGCAAAAAATCGAATACGAATAATGCAAATATTCGATTGTTAATTTTGTAGGTATAGACCAGTCAATGATATAAAATAAAACCTAGACGATGCATTCATTATAAGTGTGCATCTATGAAAACAGCTGGGAACGCCATTTTTATTACCCATATCATTATTAAACATTTTAAACGAGAATCCAATATATGCCTATATCTGACGGAAGCTTTATTAAAGAATAGTCTAGACATTGTTATATTGAGTTCCTCCCTGTACTTTTTAATAAAAAATTAGGCTGAGCCAGAAAGATTCTAAATTCTTTTTTTGAAAATAAACATAGATATATTTTAGAATCTTTGCAAGAAATAGGGAACCAATAATTTTTTTTATTTTGTTTGTAGAATGATCAAAAACTCGATTATGTTAAAAATGCACAACTATGATTAAAAAAAGTAATTATTTTCTATATTTTAAATAAATTAAGATCGGGGTTGGGTGGACTAATAATTTTAACAAATAAAAAAAAATTATTCGGGATCGGGTCGATTAAAAAAATTAGACCCGATGCAGATGACTAATGGTATTACGTACGAATATAGAAATCGTATTTTTACGAATTATCATTTATTCGAATAATCTGAGTCGATACTAGTATATTATTTTGAATGACCAAAATATTCGATTCGTAAAATAGGGGGCAATACCAACGCAATTAAAAAATATGTTATATTCCAAATCTCAAAATAAGTTATTAAGATTAACAATAGGCTAGGACAAGAGCAAAATTAATATGAATATAAATATATTACTAAATTAATATTTTGAAAATATACGCGTATTACTACTAGATATATATATATTAAAAGAGAGCAGATTGGATTGAATGCCTTATTTGTCCAATCTGCCTTGAGTTTGTTTAAAAGAATATTTTGAAAATTTTCAAAGGAAATCAATAATTCTCCTTCTGTAGATGCCGCATCTAAGAGGGAAAAACAATTTCAAATGATAAAAAAGGAGCTCTTGACGGTAGTTAGACAGGATAACGTCTATCTTATCATCCAATAACTAAATTCATTTGGCTTTGCGTCTTAATTAAAAAAGATTCAGGCAATTAAAAGCTTAATCTCATATTCAAATATTCATCCATTAAACGTTTCTTTTGAAAAAATATACCACAGGTTATCCAATCTCAAACCCCTTTAGATTAATTTTTGAACGGTTGAAAAAAAAATAGATTCATCAATATAAGATTTTAATACGAAATTTTAAATAACAAAAATAAAAAAATTTCATGGATCTTGCCTGAAGAGTTGCTAAAAGTTGTATTATTAAATATCAATTTTAACAAAAAATTGAAGGATAAATTATAATAGTTTCGAGATGTGGATTCTTATTGTTTTTTTTTAATTGATACATTTTTCCAATCGATTCTACCCGTACATATAGCATACCCAAAGTTGGCTGGAAATATCATTTTAAGCCAATCAAAATTACTCTTCCAAAATTTTCCTCAACCCTTATCCATTCCTATCTTTCCCAAAAAAAATGAATACACAATCTTCATTATGAATAAATGAGGAGAAAAAAAAATGGATATTTTATGAAATATTTAACCCGGACAAAAGACAATAAAAAAATCTATGAAAGAAAAACTAAAATGATGAAGAGCCCCTCCCCCCTCAGCCGTAATAAAAATCAAATAAATTTAATTGTCTTATTAACTCATTCGTTATTAACTTAAACCTTATTCTGATCTCTTCCCTTACCTTTTCCTCCCAAAAAAATTAAACTAGAACATTTTGTATACTTACCCTCATTAAAAATTCTCTTATTTATTGTGTCGCTGTCGTGTAAATAGTATATTTTTCCTTACAATTTTAGCATTATCTGCTGGGTTTTTTGTTTTAATAAATATTCGAATAGAAACGATTTGGAATCAATGATCGGGAAAAGCTTCGCGGCTTTTTTTTATATGTATATCATACCACTAACCATTTATGGGCCTTGATTATTTGATCAAGCACCCTCAAAAATAAATTTTAAACCCATACCCGACCCGGCCTAGGCCCGGCCCAAGCACATATCCAAAAATTTAATTTATTGTATCTAAATGTAAATATACAGTATTTTGAGTTTATTTAAGCATTCATTTTGTTAATACAATACTGAAATTTATTAATAGTAGTAGAGAAAAAAAATCTCCAATATTTTTAAGTTAGCAACTATTTTAAATAAGCTAAATTTAACTTAAAAAGTCTGTTTAAAAAGTATTTAAAAAAACCCAGGCCCTGCCCAAGCCCGATAGAAAATATTATATTAGGCCCAAACCCGGTCCAAGGGTCAGATATGGGCCACGGACCGGATCGATTCCAGCCCATTAAGGTCTCTGTACCACACATAATTAATTATAATTTTAAATAATACGAATTTTTTAATTTATATGTGGATTTGGATTGAAATTTTTAAAAAATAATAAATCATAAGCTTAAGCATGACATTGATGAGACATTTGTTTTTCACGAAGAAAAAATATGAACTTTGCATAATATTCCTAGGGCGAACACCACATAATTCCAGATACAAAAGTCCGAAATTAATATCGGTGGCGTGCCAGTGCGAGTTTATATACGGAGGCGTTTTCGGGCCGCCCGGTGCACATGCCTATACAATTTATAAAAAAAATAAATAACAAGATGGTTCGTAGAAAAACAAACAGAAAATGTTTATAAATTGCGTAAATAATCAAAAAGGGTAAAATAGAAGATTTTTTTTAAAAAAATTTATAAATTGAAGAATAGAATTCGTGATGAATGTTGATGGGTGTGGAGCAAATATCTAGTGTTTAACGGCTCGATTTGAGCCGGTTTTTAAAAACGGTTGACTCGATATCTTAGCTAGAAAAATATTGTCTAAGCTTAGAGATTTCGTTAACACATGTTCAAACTTTTGTGCCATCTCTTGCGTAATATTTTTCCTGGATAAAATCTTGAGTTCGCCGTCTTTAAAAAACCGGCTCAAGAAGAACCGCAACACTGCAAATACCCCGGAAGTTGATCGTGTTTCATATTATACGTTAATCGGGAGTAATGGAGAATGTTTGCTTGAATAAATATCCCGGAAGTTGATTGCGTATACTCATTTTAAGGTTATCAGTTGTTAGTTGTGAATAATGGTGGATACAAATATTCCCAAAAGCTAGTAGGAAATGATAAATGCTTGTTGTATGGGGCATGCCAGTATGTTTTCATTTTATGGTTATAGGAAGTTATCGCAGGAAATTGAATAAATATTTTAGGAAATGATCAATCGATAGTATATTATTTTTGTTAGTTAATTTTTATATCTTAAAAGTAAAACGCGATAAAAGTTTTTTATCATTTTTTTTTAATAATAAAGTAATTTATTTAAATGTTAAATTAGAGTAAATTTAAAACAAGAAGGTTACCACGAAAAAAAGAAATTATTTGTATTAAATGTGAAATGAGATTTAAAAAGTCGTGAAACATGAAAAATTTTATATTTTGATTAAGATCAAAAATACCCTAAGAGTTAAGTGGTGAATGTTAGTTGAATTAATATCGCGGAAGCTAATTGTATTAGTGCTCTACGGTTACCAGGAATACTGGCGATTTATTGGTTTGATAAATATCCCAAGATGTTCATTGTGTTCGTAATGTCGCGGTTAATCAGAATTTTTATCAGAGATGCATTACAGCATATTTATAATGGGCTACCCTATGAATTCGCAGCTGACTTTTGTGTCATTTATCATTTTCATTAAAAAATAATAATAGAAAACCCAAATATATATTATTATTTTAAGTTCAAAAGTTCGTGGCAAAATTTTCAAAAAAAAAAATCACAGAGTGACTAGGAATGGCCTTTCGGTTAAAGTCAAAAAAAATTTTAAAAAACGAACATCAAAAATTATACATTGAAAAATAACTCGTAGACTGAAGAAGAAGAAAATTTGTGGCTAACTTATTATTAGAAAATATTTATTAAAAAACACACAACACGATTCAAAGAAAAGGCAGTTAGAAGTAGAGTCTGGTAAAGGGTGGATTTGGAGCCCATCCGCCTATACCTTTAACGGATGTGGGTGGGCAGGTTAAAATTTTATAAAATCACGGACCTGGTCTGTGAATTTGAAATATTCTTCAGACGAAATAAACAGAATGTATGTAAATATGTTAGCGTCAATGTGTTTTTCCCATGCAATGTTATTTTTTTTCTACTTTATCAGATTT